GATCATGCATGCCAACTCCTTTTATCTGCACCTCCCCTCCCCAACACCCATGGCCTCGCCCGTCTGCGTACCGCGATCACGATTCTAGCGCCGGATGCCCCCTCAGACAATGTTACTATCCGCGACTATAACAAGTCCAGCCCTACCGTCGTTTGGGACAAGCCCACGAAAGTCTTCGCGTTCGCCCTGCCGCCGCGTTGTGCGGTTCATAAAGAAGGGAACTGCCTCTGCTGGATTGGTCCGGTCCTCCACGACGCCGCCCGGGACTACGATGGTCAAAAGCTCGAAACTAACAAGCTATTCCGCGGGTATCTGTTGTGCATGAAGGGGGACGCCAACATGGAGGACAATCAGAATCTGCCTCCGGATGTGGATGTCGATATGGAGGATGATGGTGCGTGCCTCAATCTTCTCTTTTTCAAGTCTTTATCCGAATCCTTGAGCAGATAGTCTCTTTGGAGGGCCACAAAATGCCGTGGTCGACGCTGTGCAAAAACCGATAGAAGCTGCGCGGCATTCGGTGATTGTCCTCAGCGACTCGGATGACGCCGGCAACGTCGGCTTTATCCCATCCGCTCACGTTGCTCACGGTAGGTGGTCTTGTCGCTGACATTATGAAATCTCATTGCGCAGCAATTGACCCTCCTTCGGCGCTAGGGAGTTCTGCCCCACCCGTAGATCATTATACTCCCCCGCGGCCTATCGCAGATTCTCCTCGTCCAGAACCACGCACGCCTGCTCACGTTCCTTGTGGTACGTGATCTTGATGCTGACAGTGCTGAATCTCATTACCCCGTAGTTAAACCCCCTTCTGCATTCGGGCGGCCTGCTCCCGCCCCGCCGGTAGAGCGTCCTCAGCCAGAACCCCGTGCGCCAGTAGCCCCTCTTAATGGGGTTCCAGTTCCGCCCCAACACGGCGCTGGCCCGGCTGCTGCCAACGGCGATGGCCCTGTCCACCGCACCAACCCTGTTGCCGCTGCTCGCGATTCAATATCAGCGATCCTGGCGCGAAACGACGAGCTCGAGGCCGAAATCGGGGTTGTGACCTCCACGATGAAAATATTGCACGTCCGCACCCGCGATCACACCGCACTGCAGAAAGAACACGCGGCCCTTCAGAAGGACATCGCGCAGCAGAACACGAAGATTTTGTCTTTGGAGGCCGAATTACGCAAATCGATGGATGAGCTAGCGGGGTGGAAGAAGCTGATCCAGGAGGACCGGGATCAACGCAGAGCGCTCCTGGAGGCTGAACTTGCGAGGGTCGTGGAACCGCTGGACTCTCGAAAGAGGCCGCGTGTTGACTCGGACTAATCAACGGGAATCTCCATACATCGTTACTAGCAACACCGTACACTCGCGTAAGTAAGCAATTAAACGGCCCTGACTGCCTCTATATGTTCAGATTAAACGCGGTATGAACATTTAAACGGCTTGTACTCGCATCACCGCTCATCGGGAATCCCGGCATCAGTCGGACCCCGACGTCACTGATCCGACGGGCCTGCCGCTCGGCATATATATCCACGCGTCGCCTTATCGCCTTGTCGCTCGAATTTCAAGCTTCAAGGCTCTCCCCTGCACAGCAATGCCCAAGCTCGCGACTGCAGAATCCTTCAACTCGACTTTCCCTCTCGACTACGTCCCCGTCGCGGTGTTCGCCGGCGGGACGTCTGGGGTGGGACAAGCGATGGCGGAAGCGTTTGCGCGCTACACCCACGGGCGCGCGCACATCATCCTCATCGGCAGAAACGCGGACGCTGCCAATAAGATCCTCGCGGGGTTCCCGAAACCCGAGGATACTAAGGGGTGGAAGCACGAGTTCGTCGCGTGTGATGCGACGCTGATGGCGGACGTTCGTGCCACCAGCGCCGGGCTCCTTGCGCGCCTCCCGCGCATCAATTTTCTCGTAATTAGCGCCGGGGCGAACTCACTTGTTGAGTCCAGCGAAACGAGGGAGGGCCTTGACCACCATCTATCCCTGCGGTGAGTCCTTCCAGCAACTCAATTACTTCGACCCGGCTCACATGGTTTGACACCTCAGGTATTACTCCCGCTACGTCTGGACGAAAGAGCTCCTGCCGTTGGTGCATAATGCGCGAAAGCTCGGCCAAGATTCCCGTGTCATGTCTATCCTGGGCGCCGGCTTCGGCCACGCGATCGACACCAATGACATTGGCTTGGACAAGGCGCGAAGCAAGACTATCAAGTCTCTGAAAGGCGTCATGATAGTGAGCACTGTACTGCACTCCCAGCACTGTGGATTCAATCGCTCCCGAATGCAGTCCTTCGCCGCACTAAAAGGAATGAGTTACAGTCCGGGGCTGAACGACGCCATGATGGCTGTGCGTCGCATACTATCTCTCCTTGATCAATACTGAATTTTGGCCCGGATCCAGTCCTTCGCTGCCCAGAACCCGGAACTCGCCTTCACGCATATCCACCCAGGCTTCGTGCGCACGTCCGCCTTCCACTTTGAGTTCGGGTGGCTCCTCGCGCCTCTCGCGTGGCTCTTCGAATTCGTCATGTTGTTCTTTGCCATTGAGCAGGTACTTGGTTTACTCGATTGGCTTCCCCCCTTTTTGACTGTAAGTCGACTGTGCGTACAGGACGAAGCCGCGCAATACATGCTCTACGCGCTCCTCTCCGGCGAGCGCGGGCTCTTCCTGCGCAGTCCCAAGGGCGATGTCATCAGCGCGCACGCCTTCGATTCGCCGTACGAGTTCGAGAGCGATCCAAAGTCACCGGTGGCGCACAAGAAGGTACGAGCGAGATCCACCTGAATGTTTTGTCTTCCGCGGAACGACCACTGAGGCTGTTGTCCAGGGCTACCTCGCGGGCGTGTGTCTCAAGGGGTACAGCGGCTCGGATGTGACAGTGAGGAAGGTGGTAGAGTACACTGAGGAGAAAATCTATCAGCGGACGTGAGCTGCTCGCTTTCGACGCCTGCTTTTCTAGTTCTGTGTGTATCGTGTGGAATAAAACACGGCGCGAAGTTTGACCCCGTGATCGCGTCCCACCCATGACAGTGTCACGGTGACAATAAGTCACCCTTCTTGCTCCAAGCCACCATGGCGTGCCCGATGACGAGAATTGCCTCTCCAGTATTCGAACTCCCATACGAACTCACTTCCAAAATATTCATCTACTGTCTTCCTCTTCACCGTCGTGTCCGTCCATGTCAAAACCGCGCTCCTCTCCTGCTGGCCCAGATTTGCAGCCAGTGGCGAGCTGTGGCGCTTCGGACCCCCGAGCTCTGGAGCTCAATATACTTAGGACAGCCAGAAAACCCTTATAATGGGCTTTTCTATCTCCTCTATCCGGATGCGGATCCAGCCCCCGATCCCACCTGCGACCTCCTCGAATTGTGGCTCTCGCGCACTGCGGGTTATCCATTGTCCATCACGTTAATGTGTCGGAGCCAGCCCGTTGGGTTAGCACAGAAGCTCTTCGCTGCGATAGCCGTCTACTCTGCTCAATGGCGCCGAATTGAGCTCGAGCTCACGACTGCGGATTTTTTCGATTTTAACAAAATCGAGGGTCCTTTCCCTTCCCTTCTTAGTCTAGCCATCCAGCTCACAGATAACCAGGAGGCGTTCCCTGCTGTAACGGCAATCCACGCTGCCCCAAATCTGACGGCTTTAAACCTGGCGAACGAGCTTTCGCTGTTGGTGTTAGCGCCAAGTCTGGCGGCGATGCCATCTTCTCTCACCGCGCTACAGCTCTTAAACGTTGACAGCCATGGGATTTCGCAATTGGATGACTTTCTCCGATTACTCGAATTCTTCCCGCACTTCCTGCATCTTAGCACCTTTGGAATGGACCACGGACCTCCAATCACCCATACACCTACCGGCTCACCGACCACAGTCATCCCGCACCTCAAGTCGTTGTTACTTGAGGGGGGTATCGACCACTTCGCGTTCGTTGACATCCCCGCTCTCGAGCATCTCCAAATCGACCTCGTTTGGCACCTTCGCCCAACATCCGTCACCACATTTCTCTCCCGCTCAGCTGCGTATCTAACCCATCTCACTTTGCGCGTCATCGGTGTTCTGCGCGAAAAAATCGTAACCTGTCTGGAAGCCGTACCGTCTCTCGCGACCCTCGAGCTATTGTTTTCCGACCACTATTATAAACCCTACGGGGATTCCTACCAGCTCCTCCAGCGCGCGAACCTCCTTCCGCAGCTTCGGACGCTCATAATCACCGACGAGACTCTTCATCCGGGTACCTATACCGCGTTCCTCGCAGTTCTACACGCACGCTCGGGGTTGACTCGCGCCGGGCTGCACATCCGGCCCAGCGAGCCAGATGAGCATGTCGCGCTGCCGGATCCCGAAATTTTGCTACAGTGCGAGGACCTCGCGGACCGCGGCATCGTCATCCGCTTCACGACCCCCACATACACCTGGCCGCGAGGGTTGCACGAGGATGATGCGGTCGGTGATCTGGGTGCGTTTTCCCCCTGTTGCAGCGCGAATCGGTTCTGATCCATATCAACGCAGAGTGGGATATCTTTGGGTCTAATATGACGAGATCACACTTCTTCTCTCCGTTCTAGTCATTCTTTGTCAACCAGCACACATAATTGGCGACCGTGAACTGATTGATGCAATGATACTGTGTTGGTCTGATCTTACCCTTCGCGTGCTTGACGCACGAGAGTGTTGTTTCTCGCCCCAGCGCTCCGCGCGGTGCTTTACCAGCACTTGAGACTCGTAAAGCAGACATGCGCACCGATGCGAAGGGCTCCGGGCCAGCCGGAATGGCTCGCTAACTCACGATGGCCGATAGAGATCAATTGCCGTGAGTGGAGTACTACATGCAGGGATGACGATGCGGTCTCCAACCAAGGTGCCTTTACACTTCTACTCGGTGCTGATCGCGCTAATTCAGAATGCAATTGATGGGTACAGTCGGCGTCATATTAGTGGCGGTCTGATCCTTGGCATCTGGCAATTTACGGATGGGAATGCTTGGTATCGACGTAGCGTCACTTCCTCTTAGCTCAGTGGTAGTAGCGCATCACTCGTACGTTCTCTTGTAGAACTATCCGACATGATGAGGTCAGTCGTTCAATCCGGCTAGCGGGAAGCAGACTGGCGTCAGTCCTTTTTGTTTGTCGGCATCTTTCTTTTTCTGTTGCCATCAATCGATCGAGAACCACAATGTCGCTGCGTACGCCATTTCTGCGAGCGGACGCTGTTCATACGTTTCATCGTTCCTCTGGCTCGCTCAGGCCGTCGGTTGGCTTTTCGACAGGCACAGAGATTTCGAAATGTAAATATCATCCAACTTTCATCGAATTTGATCGAAGTGCGAAGCGCCAAAGCGCATAACAAAAAAGAATGAGAGTGGGAGAATGGCCAAAATCATGGGGGGACGTTTTATAGTTTAAGGGGGTTGATTTGACTCATACTGGTACACAATGAAAGCGGATTTAAACCGAATGAATAACTGTACATCAAGTTAAGTCCATGGTAGAAACCGTCATGGCTGTCCTAGTCCAGCGCAAACGAGTGCAGGCGCTCATTCCCGGCGATCCCCGTACGCCGGCGGGCGTTGCAGCGACCCGTCCCAGTCCTGTGCCTCGGGGATGCCTGACTCAAGGCGCTCCATGGACATCTTGATGCGGCGTAGCTCCTCCGCCATCTGCGTAAGCACAGGACTCGACGCGGATTGTGGGGTCTGCATTTCCCCGCCTGTATGCGGACGCGCCCTCGGGATGCGCACGCTCAGATCCGATTTCTCGCTCGAAACTGTGGACCGCGCGGCTGGCGGGGGCTGGAGCACGAACGGTGTAGAGGGAACGGCCAGGGGCTCCCCTTCCTTGTCCGCATGCAGGTTATTCGCGCTGTCGCTCTTAATTTCCACTTGTTGGCTGACCCGGTTGTCGCCTTTCCCCGGTTTCGCGATGAATGGAACGATGGATGTTGACACGGGCCGTTTTCTCGTCATCGCGCGCCTGCGCAGGAGCAACACCGTCGACACCAGGGCGATGAGGACGACCCCACCCACTACACCCCCGACGATAGCGGCGACCGGAGGCTTCTTCTTTGTATTCGAAGTATCTTGGGATGGGGGTGAGGTGGAGCTCGGAGTCGACGGTACATTTGGGTCTGCATCGGAACTGCGGGCTTCTCAGATCCGAGGGAGAGGTTTCAGAGAGGTGCACGTACGTCACAATGGCGTAGTCGAAATACAGTGAGGCTCCTGGCAGCAACTGCAATCGCAGCTCGTGCGGTTTATTCGCCAGTGTCTTGTTGGAGAACGCCATGAAGTTGTTTAACGGGGACTGTTGGTGCACGGACCAATTACCAGAAGCAACGTCGTCTATGAGTGCCGTGAATCCCAGAGGCGCAATAACTGCCTTTCCGGGATACGCGACAAAGATGTACACAGCCGTCCCTGCATGGTATTAGATGAATGGAGAGTACTCTCATTTCAGCTATGTTCTACTCACCGGTGAAGTTCATGGCGATCGTCGGCGTGCCGTTAGGGTCGGGGTGAACGAACGTTACAGACCCATTGTTGAGCTCGCTCGTATTCAATCCCCTGGGATCCCGGGCCCAAAATGCAGCGTCGTATTCCACCAGCGGACTGGCATCGTCGATGGTGTAATTGCTCTGTGCGGCGCTGACCAACCAGCTCGAGAGGATCGCGTTCAGGAGGGGAAGGATCCACATGGGTGCGCCGGGGTGATAGACGGGAAACGGGCAGGAAAGACTGACGAAGGTATGAGCATATAATAGAGGCTGTCGGTGTCAATCAGTGGAGCTTGCCCGCCTCTATCTACATCTGAGGTAGCAGAAGGCGTGCCAGAGAGTGCTTCTGTTCACGCTCTCCCTTGACTGCGGGAAACGAGTTAGTTGGTTGGGGCAAGGAAGAACGGGAACTTACTGGGTCGGCCATAGATTGTCCTGGTCAACTCCAGAAATACTACGGAGATGAAAACCCCTTCAATTCGAAAGAAAGGATAATATAATATCACACGATGGACAGCCACTGTGACATCGAAGCGCCAGTCGCGTGAGGATTTCGCTCTGATACAACGATGGCGTTGAGTGACGTCGGAGAACTGGAGTACAGTGTGATTTCAGCGATTGACGAAGTGGCCCTGGCCTGGGGGATAAAGTGGACAGTACATGAGCCTCGAATGACCAAACGATGCCTGACTTGAGAGAATAGAATGGACATCACGACACAATCCGCGGAGTTTAGATAGAAGTAGAACTGACAGTGTGCAACAGTCGCTTTTGACAAGTAGAATTTGATGGACTTGATTTTGTGCGGACCTCCCGTCGCCAAGTCGGGCCAGGAATGAAATTCATATGCCGGAGAGACTCTGGATTCGTTCGAGATTCGCATGGGATGGGCTGCGGGTGAGTGACCTTCACCACATCGTACCCAATTTTCAGTCTCGAAAGGGAGAAGAGTACATAGTGTTTTGGGAGGCAAGGCGCAGCAACCAAAAAAAGATACGACGGACCTCGATTTGGATGCAGTGTCGAATGCGTACCGTCCGCCGCCGAGTTCTATCGGGTGTAAGTTGAGATACGATTGTTATTCGATCCAGGGAAAGAATTACCAATAAAGCGTACGCACCTCAACGAACGACGCTTCGCCGCGATCGCAAGTAAAAAGGGAATTCTTCTACCACCATCTATGACCCGAGCCCGACTCGAACGGGCGTTGCGGCGGATTATCGTTATCCCCCATCATGGCATGGGGGAGCGGACAGTCCGCCACCGAGTCGACGTTAAGCCTGAAGGCACCTCGAATAAACGGAGGAGGCATTTGGCTGATACGCGCCTGAGATCCAAAGCGATGCGGAGAAGACGAGAACCTGGGAAGCAGTGTTGTTCGTTGGGTACAAAGCTGGAGCAGCTGCCAATCGCTGCGATGCAACTACAACATCATGCTATCGCTTCCCTGGATCAGATGGTGACCGTACGTTAGCGACCCGGGAAGGATGTTCTAAGTCAAGGAGGACAGACAGGAAATCAAATAGCGGCATCTAGTTTAACTTCAAAAGTCGAAAAACATCGAGGGCTAGCTGTCCTTGGAAAGTCTGCGCCAGGTTCCGCAAATCAAGACAGAAACTATGTGCAGATGCGGAGGATCCACCACTGCCTCGCATTGTGCCCAGGCTAGAAATTATGAGAACCTATGGGAAACGGGGGCAGTATGGAGAGGAATGATTTCGGAGCATCAAAAGAGGGGAGTTTATGACGAACGACTCGGGCTTGAGTCGAATAGGAACCTTCTGCATATGCATGTGCGCAGAGTGATCCGTGGAAAGATCGAAAGCGGAACTTGAACACGGTGTTTAAACCTGGATGTGAGTTCATTTGAGTCGTTCTCCAGCCAATGGAAGCGGAAGCGATCTTGGGAGAAGACACAAGTTTCTTTTGCCCTGAAACAGTGAGAGTTGCATGGTTAGAAACTCTGTAGGAGAACACAGTGCCCCGAAAGGCAACCTAAAGAAAATGCGCAGATAAAGTTGGTGCCCCAGACTAGTACTGCGGCCCTTCGGGTCGAACGGGCGCATTCGAGCGGACATGACAGATGTCATAAGCACAACGTGAATGGATGCAACGCAAGTCGGCCCGGATGCGGATGCTCCAAATTGAGCCCAAGTTGAAGCATCGAGACGACAAACATGACAGCAAGAGACAAGAAAACATCGGCTTTCATCGGCCGTTGATCGGCCGCCATCGATATTGGTGCCGCGGCACCGCCACGTACCGCCACATAGAAACGTTCAACAAGCGAGGTACGAGCTGCATATGTCGAAGCATCTGTCTAGGAGAGACTAGTAGAGACTGAAAATCCATATCCACGCATTCACCAGCCCCGGAGCAAGATTTCGCGCATCCATCACCTCAGGCGGCAGGGAGAATTCTCGCTCCGAACAGCTCCGAACTTCAGCCCTGGACACTATTCGTGCCTCTTTCTGATTATCTCCCGGAAAATCGGCCAGGAACTCGACGGTGCGGCCGCAGCGCAAGCTGTATTCAATCCTATCTCCCCCCCGTATCCTAGATGCGCGGAGGCGTCACGGTTCCTGCAACGTTCGGGCCTGCGGCGCAGAATTTTTGATGGTCGACAGGTGTGTGTCTTCGGTCATTCGTAGTCTGCTCCTCCCACCATCCGCATCCGCATTCTCATGCAACGCTTACGCTTTGAGGATGCACGCTATCCCGCACGTTGCTGCTATGTACATCCCCGGCGGCCCTTATCCGCGCCACAACACATGCGCGGACAGTAGTAAGTTGCCTCCATTAGCCGCCACCGATCGCTTGGCCTTCCGCACTGCCGAGGCCCTAGCCGTGAGCTTCAGTTTTAAATTTAGGATCGTGCTATCGTGGTGATCCGGGAGTCTCGGAGTGTGTCCCAAATGCGGGTCCTTGATACTGTACCCGCCCTTCGGCCGCTCAGAGTCCCGCGTCCGCAGCCTAAATGGTCCTGCGCTACGTCGTCCGCCACGGGGATCTGCGCGCGCTGATTCTTCGCCTGCAGCATCTATTAATTTTGGACGGCCGCATCCGAGTGGTCTGCTGTCCTTTGGGCGAGGGTGTCGCACGGAGCGCGTTTGCAAGCCAAAAACAAATCGCCGACTTGGCTGATGTGGAGGCCCTGACGACTCAGACCGCAGCTTCGTATGCCTATGGTGGGGGACGATTCGAAGAGTACGTTTGGTTGCACAAGACCCGTTGAAGCCATTGCTGTCACAGCTTTACACACGAGTAACGCGCCACCTGCTGGCTCTAATGGTGTGCACAAGCTCTATCGATGAATTGATAAATTTCGAATATCACCAGATTGGATCTCGGCAGATGTGAATCTTGACGACGATGATTCATGATAATTGACTGCATTTATAAGAACAGCTTTGGGTATGGTTTCCTTGACCTCTGCACCTTCATATGCGGGTCATTGACACAGGCAGTGCGGTATAACGTTACGGACGAGCACGTATTGTAGATACACGGTATAACCTCCCAGAAGGCCTCCATCACGAATGGTTAGTGATGAAACTAAGAGTCACTCCGGCAGCAGATTTGGATTTGGATTTTGGCTGGATTTGATCG